AAGTTCCTAGCACACAGATGGAGTCAGGGACCTCACCGAACTGTCCAGCTCAACACCATCCTTAGGTTTCATGTCCTCCACTGAAGCATCTGTCAGGGCAGAAAAAACAGAATGTCTCTTGACCAGAGTCTAGGGACCCCTAGCTTCCTGCCTTGCCCAGGTAGGGACAGAGAACCAGGGTTTAGATACACCTGGGTCTATAGTGTGAAGTTCAGACACAAACAGAAAAGACCCCAGAGCCTGTCCACTACCCCTGCAGTGCTGAGACCTCAGACATCTCCCTCCCTGGGACCCTCTTTCTCTCACAAAGGCTTTCTTCCTGGGTGGCAGCAGCTGGGTTGGATCTGGAAAGACAAGGGGATGTCAGTTGGCGGTGAGGTCTGTCTAGGAGGTGGGGATCTAGGTCTCTGGCCATGAGTTACCTCTTCTGGGAGCCCCTGTCTCTGGTTGCTGGCACTGCGGTTCCTGCAGGAAGCTGCAATTCTGTCTCTTCCTGGGCTGTAAGAGAGAGCAGAGTCTCGTCTAGGAGAAGAGGAAGCCTCTTCCCCAGGCACGTACAGGGAAGGAAGGAAAGAGCCTTTACAACATGGGTGAGTAAGCCAATGTAACAGGACAAGGTAAAGCTCACAGAATACCTGACATTGCACAGGTTCTGAGATCATGTTCTTTCCGATCTGAGATCTGCAAGTGTTTCTAAACGACCCACCCCAGTTTAAGGTTTCCCTGGGGTTGGTGTCCTGACCCCCTGCTTGGATGTTCACAGGGGAACTTATCACCACATGAGACATCACCACATGAGACCCAGGTCACCCAGACCGTACTCACCTTCCTTCCCGAATTTGCCCTGATGCTTTCGTCGGAGAAGAAGGAAGACAAGGATGAAGAGGAACAGGAGGAAGGCCACAGAAACTCCGAGCAGAGCCTGCAGATATCTTTCCAGTCCTGAGGCACAAGTGACACGAGTGGGGACTGCTGATGCTTGTCTGAGCACCTACTGTGTGGCAGGTGCTGTTGGACCTTTGCACTCATCATCTCCTCACAATCGTGCAGCGAGGAATTGTCTGTTTTTCCTTCCAGACAGTTCACCTGCCTCAAATCATGACTGTAAAGGGCAGAGCTGGGAGTTGAACCCAGGGACTCTGACTTCCAGCTCTTTTCTCTCTACCTAAGCTGAGTTTCATCCTAAATGCCCTGCCATGGCTCTGTGCCCCACCCTTGTACACGGCACCACCACTGTGGGGCAGACCGACTGCTGAACCAAGTTCTGGAGACCTCCTCTCTCACAGTAGAGGTGCAGCCGAGGTCAGACAGAAACTTAGACATGTGGCCCCCTTTATATTCAGAGAAACAGCAGTCAGTTCAGACCAGGAAGGGCTTGTTCAGCCAGCATCTTCAGAAGTAGATTTACCAAGCCCATAACTAGTTATTGCCCATCAGAACCCACCTCCCAATAGAGTCCTTATTAGCTCTCTGGGGCCTGCCTCC